TAGCAAATGTAGCCCGCCCACCCCCCCAAGAAATCATGAGGCACATCCAGGAACTGAACTTAGCTAGGCTATTCCTGCTTTTTCTGGCTTCCCCTACTCCGATAAGGAGAACTAGTTCCAACGTAGATACTATATTTTTTAAATAAAGGTAGTATGGAACCAAACGGAGAAAAACCTTCCTTCTTTCCAGATTCAGGGCTAAAACAGCCGTAATCACAAGTGGACAAAACTAGTCTTATTGCCAAAAGCTATCCATCCAACTTGTCAAAAAAAGGATGCATAGTCAGTAACTCCAACCATCAGAACCTCCAAGTGGCATTCGTTTACAGCTTACCATGCCAGTCAGAAAACAAATATAGCGGTAATGCGAAAACAACGGCCACTAGAAGTGGTTCCGATATGTAGCAGTCCATCCCTTGCACTGTGAGCAGGAAGCTGAGAGGATGAACCCTTACTGAGTAGTTGCATATCTCCAGGACGACGACACGGTTGGCAAAGGTCTCGTTGCGGGCTTCAATGAGAAGAGTCCTCTCCTTCCAGTTGACTGTGTTTTTCTGTATGAAAAATACATACTCCACTCCGGCAATCTGAAAGAGAGCAAGGAGAACGGGACGTCAAGAGACAGGGAAGCAACCTCATGCAGCTTCCTTTCGCTCTCAGGAGTACAAACGGATGAGGAGTCTCAGGCCGCACCTTCTTCAGCAACCGAGGGGCGTCTACGTTTAGTTTGCAACTCCGCTCAATGATACGAATGGCTCCATCCTCGCTCTTGGATTCGCGGAGGATCTCGCTGCCCAGGAAAACCGGGATCTCCGGGCAAGTGGGGAAGCGCTTTTCATAAGCCTGAGGAACAGACGAGATACACAGTCAACGCTTTAAGGGAGCACGCTCTTACCTAAAAGGCCATTTCTATGGCTGCGAAATAGGTTATAGGATTCTCCTGGTTAAGGCTGCAATCCTGAGCGCATGTAAGCAGGGCTTACTTTAAGCAAAACACGTTTCAGGGTCAGGCTGCAAATCTTATTCTGAGGCAGGAAAAAACAAAAGCCCAGAGGAAATCAAATGCATAACTAATATCCAAGCCACTGACCTTCAAGAAGAGGCTACGGCTCACTGGCAGAGCCTCTGCTTGGCATGCAGAAGGTCCCGGGTTCAATCCCCAGAATCTTCAGTTTAAAAAGACCAGGCAGGAGGTGATGGGAAAGACCTCAGCCTGAGACCCTGGAGAGCTGTAAAGAGGGGCTGTGGCTCAGTGGTAGAGCCTCTGCTGGGCATGCAGGAGGTCCCAGGTTCAATCCCTGGCATCTCCAGTTAAAAGAATCAGGCAGGAGGTGATGGGAAAGACCTCAGCCTGAGATCCCGGAGAGCTGTAAAGAGGGGCTGTGGCTCAGTGGCAGAGCCTCTGCTTGGCATGCAGAAGGTTCCAGGTTCAGTCCCTGGCACCTCCAGTTAAAAGGACCAGGCAGGAGGTGATGGGAAAGACCTCCGCCTGAGACTCTGGAGAGCTGTCAAGAGGGGCTGTGGCTCAGTGGCAGAGCCCCTGCTTGGCATGCAGAAGGTTCCAGGTTCAGTCCCAGACATCTCCAGTTAAAAAAGACCGGGCAGCAGGTGATATGAAAGAACTCCGCCCGCCTGTGACCCTGAAGAGCCGCTGCCAGCTTGAGTAGACAGTACTGACTTTGATGGACCGAGGGTCTGGTTCAGTATAAGGCAGCTTCATGTGACCTTGAGAAACCAATCTGACCCAACTGATGCAGCTTACTGAAAACCTGAACCACCGTGACAAATCACAGCCTTCTATGTCACACGAGGGAGCCTGCAATTCCAGACAAAGAGAGGAACAACTTACCTGCAGACCAAAACCAACAAAATTATTGCTGACTCTAGGAACTGCCCACAAATCCATAAACAACCAAATAAATAACCAAATTGTCCCCCTTCCCTCCCAATAGGAGAACACATCTCTGTATTTGAAGAATGAACCAGAGCGGTGGCAGAGAGTGCCGTTGAGGGGTAGCTGACTTAGGGCAACCCTGTAGGGTTTTCAAGGCAAGAGACACTCAGGGGTGGTTGGCCGTCGCCTGCCTCTGCGTCACGACCCTGGACTGCCTTGGTGGCCTCCCATCCAAATGCTAACCTGCTGAGCTTCCGAGATCTGTTGAGATCAGACTACCCAGGGCTATCCAAGTCAAGGGTGTGTAGGGCTAGGTAAAGGTTCCCCTTGCTCGAAAGCCAGTCGAGTCCGACTCTAGGGTTGCGGTGCTCATCTCCGTTTCAAAGCCGAAGAGCCAGCGCTGTCCGAAGACGTTTCCGTGGTCATGTGGCCGGCATGACTAAACACCAAGGCGCATGGAACTCTGTTACCTTCCCACTGAAGTGGTGCCTGTTACCTTCCCACTGAAGCGGCTTCCAACCTCCTGATGGCACTGGTATTTCTGGCCACTGTGTGATACAGAGTGTTGGACTGGATGGGCCTTTGGCCTGATCCAACATTGGCATCTCTTATGTTCTTATGTTCTTATCTACTTGCAATTTCTTGCTTTCGAACTGCTAGGTTGGCAGGAGCTGGAACTAGAGACGGGAGCTCACTCCGTCATGCAGCACACTTGGGTCTCAAACTGCTGAACTACAGACCTTCCACAGCCTGCAGTTCAGCATCTTAACCTCTTGAGCCACCGTAGCTCCTATGTAGGGCTACCTTATCCCTAAAACAGGGCAAGTTGCTATGTACATCTCCTAATGGAACAGTGGCAATGGAAGTCAATTAAATACCTGTCTGGTCATAGACCGTATTGTGCTCTATGGCAGGCTTTGCAGTCTGAGAGCTCCCCTGCCTCAGCCAGCCTATTTTACAAATCCCCAAAAGAAAAACGCTGTCTTTCAAGCAAGATGATTAACTTTGCTCGGGTTCGATACCCAGGAGAGAAGAGATCGTGCATTCAAATAATGGTAGTGTATCCAGTTTCGGCATTATCTCATCCAAATACCTGACACAGGTTTCTGATTTGATTTGACCTTATCATCTTATAAAGACAGAAAGGATAATCAGAGTGCAGGAGCTCGAGCGCGGCTCCTAATCTCTCGCTGGTGTGAAGGCAGATGCGGCGGGGATGGGCGGGACATCTGAAGGTCCCAGTTCTTTATAGAGAAATCTCCCTGCCGTCTCCCCCTTCCCTCTCGATTAACCTCCAAGCGACTGACCTTGACAAAACAGGTTACACAACAGCGTGTTGTGTTGTGACGGCCAGAAATATCGGCGCCTAGCCTCCGAAAGCACGAGAATGTCCAGCGCTGAGCCGCAAGCAATTAAAAACCCTCACAGACTCACGTCCGTGCAACTGCTCCAGGTTTAGAAAGGAACGTCCGGGTATCGTTCAGCTTGGGTGAAAACAGCTGCCCAAATTATTTTTATCGATCAGCAGTTTCATAATACTCTCAAGTTTGCAAGGAAAATTCAGGACTCCAGCAATCCATAAAGACTCTGAGGGGAGCGACCCTGCCTTGCATGACCCCAACCCACGGCACTGCGTTAAAGAGAGAGATGAACTTCGGCACTTCCTAATCAACACATCACAGCAGATGACTGAACACGGACAGAAACCCCTTGACGAAGGAGGAATTTGTATTACGTGTTCTTACTCTGTCTCCCAGAAATCAATCCGTACTTGGGAGAAACCATCCGTGTGTGTGTTTTGTAAAGGTTTCCCTTGCTCGAAAGCAAGTCGAATCCGACTCTAGGGGGCGGTGCTCATCTCCGTTTCCAAGCCGAAGAGCCAGTGCTGTCCGAAGACTTCTCTGTGGTCATGTGACCGGCATGACTAAATGCCGAGGTGCACGGAAGTGGTACCTATTTACCTACTAGGAATTTCTTGCTTTCGGACCGCTAGGTTGGCAGGAGCTGGGGCCAGAGATGGGAGCTCACTCCGTCACGCAGAACTAGGGTCTCGACCTGCCGAACTACAGACCTTCCGGTCTGCAGCGCAGCGTCTTAACCTCTGAGCCACCGCTCAGTAACTGCTAAAAAAACTGGATGGTAGGAAACGTTGCTGCTGGCAAAACTGACCCATCAGCCGTGCTCCTTAGGGAGAAGGCAGGCACATGGCTCCCACAGTTAGGATCTCCAGAGACAGCACCAGGAGAAGATGCTATTTTTGGAAGAATCCCAAAAGCACAGAACTGGGGGGGGGGAATGTTTCACCGAGCACACAATGGTCTATTTCAGGACTATCTGGGGCCCTGGCAAGCGTACAATGGCTTATACTGAAAAACTGCATTATCTTAGAACATGCCCTTGGACTTTCACAAGCAGTGCGTTCAACGACTGAGATGCAATTTTGTAGAAACTGATCTCAAACCAGGCACGCAGTGAACAGCTGACATGATATTTAACGTGGCTTTGCCTTTTAACGCGGCATCTCCGCTAAGGATTAAATGGCATTTAATGATGCATAAGTTATCATGACCCCTTCAAGGTCCTCATTTAATAAGGTGCGATGTTCTTGGGGAGATCAAACAACGGAGATGACTGTCCGGGCCGTTCTGCTCAGATCTATTAATGGTAGGGAAGGCTGTAATATTTCCATGTCTGTTTACAAGATTTCCCCCACAATAATACACTGAACAATTTAAAAATATATATATAGATGCTCCTCAGATAACAGTATTGTTTTATTCGTCACTTGAGCTAGTGCTTGGGAGGGAAAAATCTTCTCTACAAGCGGCTATAATTCCTTCGATAAAATATGTACAGGAAAAGGTCTCAGAAAGACGGCATTGGCTCTGCCAGCATTTATTTTCAATATATGTGAATTTTAAACCAGGATTTAGAGATCTGGGACTGCAACGCGGGGGGAGCCATCTTATATTCCTGCTTTTTTGCTGATTTTAGACGGCGCACAGAACTCATTGAAGAGCTCGGAGCAGCAGACTACACAGCTCTCTGCATGGTCTTTCATCAAGGACCTCAGCGAAGGATTGCTCGAGCCGCAGACATGCAGAATATCAAGTTTCAAAGCATACTCAACAGCATTTACATCAGGATGCCATGATCCATAGCTGCTTTGTGACTTAGGGCCAAACTCATCACGCCGGGGCTGTGTGTGACTTTTCACAATGTCTTCTTTTTTAGCAAAACCTGGCTTCGGGACACTGGCAAGCAGAAGAAACATCCAAGCGGGGAAACCAGCCTGAAGGGAAGCGGGTCAGCAGACACCCCACCCTTCCAAAAACATCGGTGCACTGCTCAAGGGGGGGGAAAGCTTCCATGGCTGCCTTTCAGTTTAAAAATAAAGTTAGTGGAAAGTTACAGGATGGCCAGGACGCGTGCTTAGCTCTTGCATACCAGGACTGAAATACGCACGACATCGGACCTGCAACTTCCAATACTAACGATTAATCTGTGTGTCAGAAACGTGGTAACTGATACAGGCATCACGGAATGATACGGTAAACGAGACCATCGTCTCCTGCGTAACCAGTAATGAGAAAGCAGATTACTTAACAAGGTTGGGCCTGGTTCAGCCCTGTAGCCAGGATTTTGTGGCTTGTGGGGCAAAAAAATAAATGGTGGGGCTGGTGACATTTGTCAGGTTAGTTTGTTGTTGTTGCTGTTCAGTCCCGACCCTATGGACCACATCACGCCAGGCCCTCCTGTCTTCTGTCGTGCTCTGGAGTTTGCTTAATTTCATGTTCGTATGAGGTTAGTTACAGCCTTTTAAAGATGTGGGGAGATTTTGTGGGGTTGGCCGCACTGTAGCTATGGGCCAGGCCTGGTTATTCCTTGGGTAGGAGACCACCAAGGAAGTCCTGGATTGCAACACAGAGGCAGACAATGGCAAACCACC